AAAAAAAAAAAAAAAAAAAGAAAATCCTTCATGCAAGGTTGTAGGATATGTTAGTTTATTCAGCAAAATGATATGGTTCCAGGGTTGGGTACGGTGAGTGTGCAAATGTGTGATTATAAAGAGATAGCATGAGGGAGATCTTTGTGGTGATGGAATAGTTTTGTATCTTTATGTGCTAGGTGCAAGAATCTTCATAAATGGTATATCACTATATATACACATCAGGCCAATATAAATTCATTCATTTAGATACTGAACTGTAGCTATAAGATGTAACTGTAGTGGGGAGGGGACTGAGTAAAAGCTATAGAGGACCTTTCTGTGCTATTCCTGCAGCATCCTTTGACTCTATCCTTATTTTTTTTTTTTAAGTTTTAAAAATACCTTCATGCCTAGCTTGTAGCTGTACTTTTTTAGGTGCAGTGATGAATACCAAGGTGACCAAAATATGCCCTCAAGGATGAATGTCTCATTAGAACAGTAACAGGACTTTAGTGCTATAATGAGTGATTATTCTTCTTATGACATGCATTTTGGTATTGTTTGGACGTTTATAAATGTGTATGTTACTTTTGCAATCTGAAAAATAAAGATAAAATATCCAGTTCACTGTTTTGTAACAATAAGTGACTACAGTGTGAAATTCAGTAGTATTGCTTCTTGAGAAGACTTCCTGGAGAAGGCTGGTCTCGAGCTGGGCAATAGAAGGGAATGTTTCAGAAAATGAGACAGGTATGAACCAGGCCGGCTGTATTTCCAATACTATGAGTAGACCAGAGTGTTTTGAGAAGAGAATGAAAGAAAAATTGGAAAAATTTGGTTGGGGTCATGTGTTGAAGCAGCCTCATATATCAGGCTGAAGAGTTAGGACTGATTTTTGAAGATCAGGGAGCCATGGCAGGCTTTTGAGTTGGGGAGGAGATGAGAAGTTTGATCCTACAGTGGAAGATCTGCAATATGAATCAGAGTGGGTGTATTTTGGGGTTACAGAGTCTTAAAATAAGACATTCATTGTGTCCTCTCTCCTGTCTACCCCTCTCTCTGCAGGTGATGTGGTCCTTTCTGGCTGTAGCACACTGAGCCTGCTGACTACCAGTCTGCAGCAGCTGAACCACGTATTTGAGTTGCACCTAGGGCCATGGGGCCCTGGCCAGACAGGCTTTGTGGCTCTGCCCTCCCACCCTGCCGACTCCCCCGTCATTCTCCAGCTTCAGTTCCTCTTTGATGTGCTGCAGAAAACACTTTCACTCAAGGTTCTGGGTGGGGCATGGGTTGAATGTGCAAAGAGCTCAAAAGAGTGATGGCGGCTAGGCATGGTAGAGGGGTGCAAGAAGTCTGCAGGGCCAAGATCCAGAGGGTATCAGAGATATGGGTGGTTGGGCTAAGGAAGGGATGCTGAGGAAGGGAGAACTGATGTGCCTCAATAACTGGAATATTTTTCTTTTAGCTGGTCCATATCCCTGGCCCTGGTTTCCCAGGGCCCATCAAGATTTTTCCCTTCAAATCCCTTCGGCAGCTGGAGGTATGGGGGCATTTGGGGATGTTGGTGAACAACACCCAACTTGAGGCAGCCACTTGGGGATGGGGAAGAGAAGTCACCTCTTTTGATGGGGGAGGCCAGGCCTAAGTATACCCATTGTTCTGCAGTAATGTAATATCTGCTCTCTTTTCCATTTAATACTTCCGTAAACCATAGCTGGGCTCTGTTGTCTTCTCCCTCCTCCCCCTACTAGGGGAGGTAGAAATGAGGTCTTTGACTTCTGTGAAGTTCTGCCTTCCTCATCCCCCTTCCATTGTTCCAGCTCCGAGGTGTCCCCCTCCACTGCCTGCATGGCCTCCGTGGCATCTACTCCCAGCTGGAGATCTTGATTTGCAGCAGGAGCATCCAAGCATTAGAGGTAGGGAGGGTGATGGATGAGCTCAGATGTCTTGTCTTGAGAGAGAAAGAAGCTCAAGCTCTTATGTTCTCCCTTCTGTTGCTCGCCTCTAGATAGTGTCCTCACTTTCTCCTCTGTGCTCGCATGGCACTCTGTATCTATCTGTATATTTGTAGTCACACCTACTATCTATATTGTATTAAATATTCTAGTGTTTGTCTCCCCACGCTTCCCACAGGGAATTCCTTGAGGAAAGGAACCTGGGCTTTCTTTTTTTTGAGTTGGAGTCTCACTCTGTCGCCCAGACTGGAGTGCAGTGGCCGCTCCCGGCCACCGCAGCTCGACCTGCTGGGCTCTGGCAATCCTTCCACCTCAGCCTTCCAAGTAGCTGGAACTACAAGGGCGCGCTACCACGCCCGGCCAATTTTTTGATTTATTGTAGAGATGAGGTCTTGCCAAGTTGCCCAGGCAGGTCTCGAACCCGCGGGCTCAGGCAATTCACTCACGTTGGCCTCCCAAAGTACAGGATTACAGGCTGAGCCACCAAGCCCGGCCCTGGACTTTCTTTAAATCTGCATCTCTAGATGGAGCTTGAAGTGTGAAGAATGAATGAATGACCAGGTGATAGAGCATGGCCTTGACATGGGTGGAGGGTGAGGGTGGAGTAATGAAGCATCCTCTGTCTACTCAGGAGCTCCTCTCAGCCTGTGGTGGTGACCTCTGCTCTGCCCTCCCCTGGCTGGCTCTGCTTTCCGCCAACTTCAGCCATAATGCACTCACTGCCTTAGACAGCTCACTGGTGAGTGCCTCAGAAGGAACAGGGTTTTGAGAAAAAGCAGGGATGGGCATCTAGGGAGGAGGGCCAGCTGGTTGACAGGGAGTCCTTTTGTGAAGACTGATTCTCCACTTCCCCTTCCCATCCCTCTCAGCGCCTCTTGTCAGCTCTGCGCTTCTTGAACTTGAGCCACAATCAAGTCCAGGACTGCCAGGGCTTCCTGACGGTGAGTATGAGCAGCCTGGTGGCCAGCACGCCTTGGCTTTTGAGTACTCTGTTCTCACCCTCTCTTCTGGACCCACTTTTACTTCTGCCTTGCTCTGCCACCTGCATGGAGCCACATGCTGGCAGGTAGTACTATTTGTGGCTCAGGACTAAATCAGTTTCAAATCTCAACTTCTAATGCCTGTGTGACTTGGAGCAAGTTAGTGAACCTCTTGGTTTCTTCACCTGAAAAGTAGAAATCAGAAGTACCCGCTTTTTTTTTTTTTTTGAGTTGGAATCTTACTCTGTTGCCCAGACTGGAGTGCAGTGGCCGCTCCTGGCCACCGCAGTCTCAACCTGCTGGGCTCCGACGATCCTTCTGCCTCAGCCTTCCAAGTAGCCGGAATTACAGGCATGCGCTACCACGCCCGGCTGATTTTTTGATTTATTGTAGAGATGAGGTCTCACTGCCCAGGCGGGTCTCGAACCCGCGGGCTCAGGCAATCCACTCACCTCAGCCTCCCAAAGGCACGGGATTACAGGCTGAGCCACCGAGCCCAGCTAGTACCCACTTTTATAGTATTAGAATGGTTGTGAAGAGCACCTAATGTTACTTAGCCTAGTGCCTAGCTCAGAAACTGGTAGTTTCTGTGATGATGATGAAGAACCTTTCTCCTTTGTTTTCCTATTCCTCTGTCAAAGGACAGTAGTTAAAGTGGTAAGGACAAATTTTAATCAGTAACAAGCTACTATAATTGGGAAGAGAAAAACAAAGATCAGTGGTTGGAGTTGACTATAAATTCATTTTCTGAGTCCAGAGGAAAGTCAATTGAGAAGATTTTAGGTGTTGAACTTTCAGTGTCTTTAGGTGGTGAAGTGAGGGTGGCAGTGGCAGTCTCATGTATTTCTTGGTTAAGAAATACATGGTGATAGTGTAGACATCAGTGTCACAGTCATGATTGTTCTCCTGGAACAGAGCATGAAAGATGTGTCAGTGGACTTTCTGGGTGGCCCATGTCAGAGCATCTCTAGGCATGTAGGCTGTCCCTGCAAGATCTGTGTGAGATGTGTCCTTTGATGTTTGTATTGAGTATTTCAGCTTTAGTCCATAGGGTTTTTTTTTTAGATCCTTGGGAAAAGGGAAGCTACAAGTCACCTAAAGTTCCAATAAGGATCTGAGCAGTCAGGTTTTAGTTCTCAGTGATACAAGGTCAGGAAGGAGGGAGAAAATTGGAAATGTTAGTTTAGAGAATTATAGCCAAATATTGAAGGAAACTAGAAGAGTTGATAATTTGGTTTGGGCCAACATGTATAAGTACATAAGGTAGCAGGACCTAGTCCAATTTACAGGTAGATAATAAAGCCTCAAAGAAACCAAACAGAACTAGAACCTGGCAATCCACAATGGTGTGTTAATAGCCTTTTCACTGAAACATAGCATTTTTTTCTAGAGCCACCCCTCTTTTTGATTAAAGACAATACAAGTAAAATTATTCTTGTTTACTGGTCTCCTTAGATTTGACTTGCCTATTTACATAAGTGCTTTGTTGGGACTTTTATAAGGAATGTCAGACTGGACTTTTAAAAGCCTCTTGAGCTAGGAAGCCAAGCCAAGAACTTGTCATCAGACTTCTCATGTAGTATGTATAGATTGTAAATTCCTCTTGTAAATTCTTGAGGTCCCCCAAATATCCTCAGGTTCCTGGGCCTGCCAGGACGTAATCTTTCTCATTCATCTGTAAGACTGGGAGCCCTGTAAGCCAGGTAGCAGGCTGATTTTTCCGCAAGGGCTTTGTAAGCATCATCTCCATAAAGTCTTCTTTAGATCCTTAAAACTGTCTGACTGTATCCAGTTTCATGCATTATCTAAAAATACACGACATTTCAGTGTTATATAATTAATTTTATAATAATTAAATAATTGTTATATAATTAATTTTTCCAATTCTGTCCTGTTACAAGGAGGGCAGATTCTTGTTGAATCCATGCGAGTAACTGTATAGCCATGAACATAAGACCACTTAGTGAGAGTTGCTGAATTCTGGAGGGATCAGGCATGGAGAAAAGATAAATGTTTCACTTTTGTCTATAAAAGTATAACTTACTAACTTATTTTGAGTTGTAAATAGCATAAGAGAAAAGAGAAGGGGATTCCTTATATCTAGAAAGCAAAACATTAAAGAACTAGCAGTATTTGTAATTAAAGCTGTAAAACCCATAATCATCTTTCATCGGTTCATTCAGTCTTATGTAAACAATTCTTGTTCTGCTTGCTCTTGGGTTAGCAGTTTTATGAATCCATCAGCTTTTTCATTTGAGTTTTGGAAATCTCATCTTGGTGCAGTGGTATGATCTCAGAGTTATTTAAGCTTATTTAAGTTATTTAAGTAGCTGGCATAGTCTTTTTCCATGAGTCTCTGAGACAGTTCCTTTTTGTTAAAGAGAAGTACTCTGGCCTGTGACTGGTTGCAAGAGCTTTTAGAAAAGCATCAGGGTAAAACAATAACTCTGTGGATGATAAAAGAGTTAAAACAGTCTGTTTCCAGTTCACTTTTCCTCCTCTCCCCAGGTCGTTGCTTTTGCAGGTCTCTGAGTCCTCTGAGAGCACCATGGGGGCAGGGAGCTAAAATTTGAGTGACTACAGGGAGTTGAAGGCTAGAGTGGGAAGGGAAAGGTCTGGCAGGGGTGAGTAGGGGTGGAGGAGCAGGTACCTGAAGGGGACCTATCAAAGGAGACAAGGGAGCTGAAGGAAAGATGAAAGGTGGTAAAATGAGGAAGGGGAAGCAGATGTGATGGGAAGGGAGTCAGTCCAGGGGAGATCTTATGTTTTCCAAAGAAGCCTTTGAGTTCCAGATTATCCTCAGTGAAGTCATGCCCACAAGAAAGAAAGTGAGCACAGCTAGTGCCGTAGTGGTGACACATATAGTCATCAGGAGCCTGAGAAAGGGGATTCAGTGAACTGAGAAGTTCCCATGGGAGCAGCAGAATCAAGTAGGAAGACCAGAGAAGACTCAAAACTAAGAGCCAAAAAGGACTTCCACCCCAGGAGTCAGGGAGTGAATCCCCCTTCAAACAAAGAATGAGGAAGGAGAACTTCCAGCCCAGGAAGTACCTTTCAGACAAAGCTTGGGACTAACCTAGCTTCAGAAGGAATACTTAGAGTCATGAGAATAAAAATCTGTCCTCACTATGCTTCGGTGGACATGTGTTCCAAACACTGGATTGGGAGTCAGACTTATCAATGGATCCCCCATTGATCAGTCAGGAATGAAGAAAAGGCATCAAAGTTGCATACCTGAGTATGCACACCTGAGTGAGAGGTCTGGTGATCCTGTGATGAATTTGATCCTGTCTGAGTCACGCCACCAGATAGCTGTCACAGATAAAACCAGACACTAGTTAGAGTGGTAAGGACAGGTTTTTTTTTTTTTTTGAGTTGGAGTCTCACTCTGTCGCTCAGACTGGAGTACAGTGGCCGCTCCTGGCCACCGCAGCCTCGACCTGCTGGGCTCCGGCGATCCTTCCACCTAAGCCTTCCGAGTAGCCGGAATTACAAGCATGCGCTACCACGCCTGGCTGATTTTTTGATTTATTGTAGAGATGAAGTCTCGCTGCCCAGGCGGGTCTCGAACCCGCGGGCTCAGGCAATCCACTCACCTCAGCCTCCCAAAGGCGCGGGATTACAGGCTGAGCCACCGAGCCCAGCTGTAAGGACAGATTTTAGTCAAAGATAAGCAATTGCAGTGGAGAAAGGGGCCCAGCATGAACTCCACTTCTGTGCAGAGGTGATTGGGCATTTTAAAGGGAGAATGAGGGAGTGGGCATGGGAAGTAGTGAGGGCTTGAGCATAGTCAGGGAAGTAGAAATTTACAAAAAGCAGGAAGGAGGGGTTGGTCCATGTGAAACCTTTCTGGTCTTGATAGCTAACTGGCACTTATCAAAGTAAGGCCCCTACCCTCCCACAGAGACAGGGAGAGAGGGGCCCTGACTTCAGGTGTTGGCTGGAACAAACACTAAATTCTTTTGGCAGCTTTGAGTTTTCCCAGGCAGGAACTTAAAGGGGCTGGAGTTGCCATCCTAGGGATGTGACCTTGAGCTGTTAGCAACTATGCTAGTGTTTGTTCAAGTCTTTTCATATGCGGATGGGGGTGGACAAAATAATTTGTGCTGAGAGTGTGCAGTTTTTATAGGCCAAGGATGAGGCCTAGTCCAGAAGAGGGCTCAGACACCCATACTGAAGCTTGGTCAAGGAGAGAGTGTTTTTTCTCCCCCCTCCCGGTTCCAGGATTTATGTGAGCTCTACCATCTAGACATCTCCTATAACCGCCTGCATTTGGTGCCAAGAATGGGACCCTCAGGGGCAGCTCTGGGGGTCTTGATACTGCGAGGCAATGAGCTTCAGAGCTTGCATGGTGAGTGGGGTGTGTGATGGGGAATGGGGAAAATGTGAGACTTAGAGTGGCTGGGGGCCCGCATGCCTCTAGAACCTTGTGAGGCCTTATATGTAGGGCTGAGGTGTTCCGGTTTATCTTTCGACTGCATCCCCCCACCCTCCACAGGCACCACCACACTCCTGCGTGTACTCACCAGCATGCCTTTCCTCCCTTCTCACCTCCACCTCAGGCCTAGAGCAGCTTAGGAACCTGTGGCACTTGGATGTGGCATACAACCTGCTGGAAGGACACAGGGAACTGGCGCCACTGTGGCTGCTGGCTGAGCTCCGCAAGGTGAGATGTGGGTGCTTTGAGGGCTTAGGAACCACCTTTGTGCCCCACCCTCCTGTGCTGATTTGATCAGTACCTTCTTCACACAGGGAAGGCCCTAGGCCCACTCATTCTTCTCTTCCTGCCCTTCAGCTTTACCTAGAGGGGAACCCTTTGTGGTTCCACCCTGCACACCGAGCGGCCACTGCCCAGTACTTGTCACCCCGTGTCAGGGATGCTGCTCCCAGAGTGAGTGATTGTCCTGTGTTCACTGTGCTTCCCCTTTCCTGCTCACCCCTAACCCACCCCTGTACCCTCTTGCCATCTCTGGGTGAGGGGCCGAGGACCTGGGACCCTGCTTATGGAGTAGTTAATACCCGAACTTGCCAGGGATGGGCCCCACCATGCACTCTCCCCTCTCCTCTTTTGTCTTTGCTCAGTTCCTTCTTGATGGTGAGGTCTTGTCACTGAAGGATTTTCAGGTCAGCGTGGGCAAGAACTGACTGATGGGGAAGATGTGAAGGGAGGCCACTAGTGAGAGAGACAGGGGTGGCTGGCGAAAGGGTCTTCCTGGTCAGTGGAAAGTCTTGCTAGCTTGGGTAACACAGAGGCGTTCTCCTGGCTCCAACCTCTTTCTTCCTGTTGTCACACGTCAGGCCCCAACATCTTTGGGGCTTGGTTCCACTGGCCCACCTGTGCCCTGGCCAATGGGGAGTACTACTGAAACCTCAGGTGGCCCTGACCTGAGTGACAGCTTCTCTTCAGGTGGCGTGGTGGCCCAACCCCTGCTTCATAAGGTTAAGGTAAGTGGTGTCCTTGACTGCCTTGTGCCAGGGGTTGGGTCTCTATAGGGGCACTGGGTTGTCAACGGACTGGGAATAGTCAGGCCTCATTGCTAGCTTGTAGTTGGGGGTTTTGTGGTAGTTTGAATTAGTAGCTATGGATGGCAAGGCCAGAGGTTCTGGCTTTCGAAGAACATCTTCCTTCTACCCAACCTCAGAGTCGAGTCCGTGTAAGGCGGCCAAGCATCTCTGAACCCAGCGATACAGACCCAGAGCCCCGAACTCTGAACCCCTCCCCAGCTGGTATGTCAGCTCCCCCTACTAATCCCTCTTGCCCTTGTCCAGCTCTCTCTTAGTCACTGTGAAGGTCTGCAGAATAAATTTTATTTTTTGGTGGGATGGAGCATTGTAGAAGGTCTCTTAGTCTTTCCTCTTTCCTTTTAGTTTAGGGAAAGGAGAAGAAACTGTTCCTGGGCAGCATTTCGAACATTTTTCAAGGAACATTAATTTTGTGGGGTGTCAAAAGGTCATATGGTAAAGCCAGATAAGTTTGGGAAATGCTAGGTTAAGCAGTTAAATAGGTCTCTTTCCCGCAGGCCATCTCAGGGCCTTCTCTGTGCTACCATGTATTGTGAATCTCCAAGAGTAGCCTGGATGTGCAGTTCTGGACTGCATGTGACCACAGTGTTCCATAGAACTCTCTTTGGGACATACTGCCTGTAACCTCCCTTGGCCCCACCTCCCACATTCCCCATTGCTTCACACTGGGATCACCATAGAAAAGAGGCTTGGGTCTGCTAGGGTGTGGGGTGTGGTCCTGCTCAGCTCTGCTCCCTGCCTGCCCAGGATGGTTTGTGCAACAGCATCGGGAACTTGAGCTCATGAACAGCTTCCGCGAACGGTTTGGCAGTGACTGGCTGCAGTATAGGAATCACCTGGAGACCTCTGGGAGCCCCCTTCCGGTTGCATCCAAGACTCCTACCCTCAGCACGCCTCCTCCAGACTCCCCGCCTGGCTCCTTGCCTCCAGAGGAGGAAGCCAGAGGCTCTGCAGGATCACCACAGAACATGTCAGAAGAGGTTAGAGTGAAGCCAGAGCCACAGGAAGAGGAGGAGATAGTGGAACAGGAAAAAGAGGAAGAAGGAAAGGAGGAACAGGAGGAGGAAGAGAAGTTGGAACAGAAGGAAGTAGAAGGTGAGCACTCTATGGCTATGGGGGATTCTGAGCCAGGTGATTTTGGGATGTGTGGGGGAGAAAGAAAAGCCCAGACTTTCCTGAGGATAGGGCTCACCCTTTCTGGATGAAGAACCTCCCCACAGGAGGGCAGAATCTTGGGTATTTTTCCTACCCTACAGGGCTCCTCTCTTGGTCTCTCCACAGCGGAGCTCTGTCGCCCCATGTTGGTGTGTCCCCTGGAAGGGCCTGAGAGCATGCGGGGCAGGGAATGCTTCCTCAGGGTCACTTCTGCCCACCTTTTTGAGGTGGAACTCCAGGCAGCTCGAACCCTGGAACGGCTTGAACTCCAGAGTTTGGAGGCAGCTGAAATAGAGCCTGAGACCCAGAGAGAGCCAGTGCCCGAGGTGAGCAGGTTTGGGGGCTCTCAAAGAGGTGAGGTTTTTCTCAGGAGCCAGCTCTGAGAATATAACTGTTGTGTGCCAGGCACTGGGCTGGGCATTTCCCACAGTCTCTTACTGACTCTTGGAGCTGAGGAGGGGAGCCTGGGAGGCAAAGCATGATTACACACAGCTTGGGGTCTAGGTGAGGTGTAGTGATGCCATGCTGGAGCTTGGACGTCAGCACAAGCATTTGATTGGAGTCCAGAGCTATTGTTTACCTCCATACTCTCAGCATAACCCTAATTCCTCTGACTGTCACCCCTGCTGTTTTCACCTGGCCCCTTTTTCCTGTGCAGGGCTCTGATCTGCTTCCTGGGGCCCCTGTCCTCGTTCTGCGCTTCTCCTACATTTGCTCTGATCGGCGGTTACGTCGCTATGTGATGCTGGAGCCTGATGCCCATGCAGCCGCCCAGGTGATGGAGGCCTAGCGCAGAGGCTCAGGAGACTGTGGGGGAGAGTGGTAGAGCCAGAGGGAGTGGTTGAGGACCTGTGGGGCATGTTCATCTGGGGTCCGTCTGCTCACAGCTGCCTCTGACTCATCGTCTGTCAGGAGCTGCTTGCTGTGTTGACCCCAGTCATCACCACGGCTCAGCGCCAACTTGGGGAAGCCAGGGACGTGCTGGGGGGCAGATTCCAGTGTCTGCGCTGCGGCTATGAGTTCAAACCAGAGGAGCCCAGGCTGGGATTGGACAGTGAGGAAGGCTGGCGGCCTCTATTCCAAAAGACAGGTACAGGCCCTGCCCTTGACTCCCTGCTCACGTGCCTCCTCCATTGCAGGAAGTGGCTTTGAGCGGGGGAGTGTGGAGGGGGAGCCCCAGGGAGAAGGGATTGGATGGAGGATGGGGACCAACTGTTCTGCCTGGAGGAAACATAAAACTGCCTGCCTGCCACATTTATAAAAATGAGCACAAAGGAAAGAAGAAACTGTATCCTGGGTTTTTTCCCTCTAAAAGTCAGGAAATGCAATCTCTTAACCGTGCTTAAACATACTCATTATTTTTTTATAACTTGGAAGCTTTCTGTGTTTTGAGGGACTAATATTTCAGAAGCAACATAAAACCTAACAAGCCCTCGCTGCAGTATCGGGTTGTGGTGCTGTCCCACTGAACATGCTTAGCTGTCGAGTGAGATGCTTTGGGAGTTGGCTTAGTTTGTCCTTCCAGGCTGACCTTGTAAGCTACTTGATCTCACATAATGCCTCATGGCATCTCTTCATATTCCATCCTTTAAAACAGATCTTTCCGTTGTAGACCAGTTAAAAGCACTGTCTCTGAAGAAGACATTGAAGAAGAAAGAAATGTTCCTGATGACAGCTGTGTAGAAATGCATGATTTTAGTAGCCATTTTTTTCTTCTTGGCAGCAGCTGGAACAGGGGTTTACATTTTATTTGAAAATGGAGCCATGCTCCATTCTCCACCCTGAAGCTGCCCAGGCACCGCAAGCCCAGCTGCGCAATGGGTGCAGCAGAAGTAGCCACCAGCCCCTCCTGGACCCTGGCTCTACTCTCTGGGAGTCCTGCAGCCTCTAGGGTCCCTTCTGTGGTGACGTTATGAATGAACTTTACTATGTACTATGTTCTTCTTTTCTTTGAGCCTCAGTTAACTAATCTAAACAAAGAGAATGAACTCACCTCCAGTGCTGTAAACAGATTTAAATGTGACAATAAGGCATCAAGTGCAATGCCTGGCACAAAACAAAGGTCCCCTATAAATGGTAGCTGCTGTCATTACCCCAAGCTATATGGTCTTGGACAGGGTGTGTACATTGTTTCATCTTGTCTTTCCTCATTTGCAAAATGGGTTAGGTGAGTTTCAGTGGGGATGAAATGTGATGGTATGGGTGTGGGAGCTAGCATGTGCCCAGCACATTGTTTCTTCTCTCATTGCTGCTCCATGCCCAGATTCTCTTCTGCTTCCATGCAGTCATTCTGATGCTGAGGTTGAGTATGATAGACACTTATCATCCCTGTTTTACAGGTGGGGAACCAGACTCAGAGAGCTTAGATGACTTGCCTGTGATTATAGAGCCACTAATGGATGGAGCCTGGAGTTGGACCCAAATCTGACACCAGAGTTCTCCCTGCCTTTCCCAATCTGTTGATTTTGGTCTTTTAGACACTGCTAGGAATGTATTAAAGTACTTGATCAGCCTAAGTCTGTGGGTAGGGACCAGAGCAGAGCCTACATGCATTTGGCCCAATCTGAGAGGACCTGAAGTTAGAAGGTGGGGTGTACTTTAATGAGGTTTTGGGCCACAGCTTAGCTCATTCCTCCCTGGGATGGAGAGAACCTGGAGAGGGAGTTGGTGGGTTTGGGCATGGTGGTCATGTATGAAGCTGGAGATGTGGGCCCAGGGGAGGCCTGAGAGTGGGCAGAGAGTACCATGAGTATGGTGGGGGCTTGTGTGGTGGCTTTATGGATGAACTTTTCTATGTGCTTTGGGGAAAGCTCACAGGGTCTATGTCCATCCCTCCCTCCAGAATCTCCTGCTGTATGTCCAAACTGTGGTAGTGACCATGTGGTTCTCCTGGCTTTGTCTGGGGGAACCCCCATCAGGGAGTGGAAACAGGGAGAGCATTCACCAGCTCCCTCTCAGTCTGCCAGCCCTGTCTGTGACCGGCCTGGTCTCAGTGACCACCACAACAGAGCCAAAAGCAGCCCACCTCAGGCATCGATTGCCCACGACCACAATAGTTGGAGCCTCAGTCCCTGTGAGTAGGGGCCAAACAAGTTGGGAGTGGGTTTGGGGGAGGGAGGGGCACTGATGGGGCGGTGGAGATGGATCCTAGTGCTGCCAGGAACAGGCTAACAGCCCCCTGGTTGTCCCCAGCCCTTGAGCACTGTGGCCTCCGTGCTGTGGACCACCGACTCCGGCTCTTCCTGGATGTTGAGGTGTTCACTGAGGCCCAGGAGGAGTTCCAGTGCTGCTTCAAGGTCTGTGCTGCCCTGACAGCATCTGGGCCCCCAGCTGACCAAGGCGCCCACTTGTTTCATCACAGCCAGTTGAGTCAGATCAAGCACTCTGGAACCAGCAGATCTGACTTCAGTTTCAACTCTAGCAGTTACTTGCTGCGTGGCCGAGGACACATTCCTTGGTGTTTGAGTCCCAGTTGTCACCCTTCCATGGTGGAGATAATACCTCCCTTTTGGAGTGGCGTGGCATGAGAGCTGAGGGCTAAATTACCCAGCACAGCACCTGGAGCTCATTCAGTGAGGCCTTCTAGCATTATTATAAATACATGGTGTTATGAGACCTTTCTTGAGCACCTGTTATGTGCTAGACACTAAGGATCTACAGGAGATCATTCTTGCCTTCTATCTTTGGTCTGGTGAGAAACCAACAGTTGTGTAATAGAAACGCGCTGTACTGAGGCGGAGGTCCTAGAAGGGGCATCTAATCCAGCCTCAGTGGGTCAGGGAGCCTTCAGGAGGTTACGACTAAGCCAGATCTTAAAGGATGAGTTAAGGAGTAGGGTGGAAAAGGATGTTGTAGGTGAAGGAAGCAGCAAATGCTTGCAGGCCTGAGAGTGTCACCCGTGGGGAGAACTGTCTAGGATGAGGGTAGCTAGAATGTGCAGTGTGAGGGCAGGTGTCCCAAGAGGAGTCTGAGCGGCAAGCAGGGGCCAGTTCAGGAGCAACCTCCTGTGTCTGCCAGAGAGTTTGGACTTGGTCCAGAGGGCTACCAGGAGCCACTGAAGGACTTGAGGTGGGGAGTGACGGTCAGTTTTGTGCTTTGAACGGTCAGTCTGGCAGAGTGCAGAGGGTGAGGTGGAAGGGCAAGGTGTCAGGCAAGGAAACCAACTGAGAGACAGCCAAGGCTCTGAGGGGGCAGGGGCTGTGGGGCAGGGAGCAGTGGTGGGTAGAGGGGCTGCTGAGTGCCAGGGAAACTCAATAGACTGATGGACGGGCAGCGGGGAGCGTCAGGCCCAGGGGCTGTCACAAGTAACTCTGATTTCAGTTTGCTGCTTGCCTCCCCAGGCCCCTTTCCTCACCAACCTCTTCTTCCTCTCAGGTGCCAGTGGTGTTGACAGGCCACGTCGGGGAATTCCTGTGCCTCGTGGTAGTATCTGACCACAGACTTTACCTGTTGAAGGTGACAGGGGAGATGCGGTGAGTGAGCCGGGGCTGGGCAGGACAGGGCCTCCTTGTTCTCTCTCCACCCTCACTCTTTCCTATTGCTCTGTCGCCTCTTTCCGCAGTGAGCCCCCGTCTAGCTGGCTCCAGCTGACCCTGGCTGTTCCGCTGCAGGATCTGAGTGGCATAGAGTTAGGCTTGGCAGGCCAGAGCCTGCGGCTGGAGTGGACGCCAGGGGTGGGCAGCTGTGTGCTGCTGCCTCGAGATGCCAGGCGTTGCCAGGCCTTCCTAGAGGAGCTCGTTGGTGAGAGGGGCCAGGAGAGGCAGGGGGTGGGGCGGGGTCCTGGGTTGAGTTCTCCAACTCTGGTGCCTGGCAGCAGAGGCAGAGAGGCAATGGGACTTGTCCCTTGTAGAAATTCCTGGAATCTAGAAATACGGGGAACAGGAAGATGGTAACAGGTGGAGAAGTGGGGGTGGGGGAGAGTAGAGCCTTCTGAGGGCTCCCCGTCCCTGCTGGCTCTGTCCAGATGTCTTACAGTCTCTGCCTCCTACCCGGAAGAACTGTGTCAGTGCCACGGAGGAGGAGGTGACCCCACAGCACCGGCTCTGGTGAGTTGATAAGAGGCCGAGGCTCGAATTGGTGCCCGGATCCTCTCTCCACAGAGCTCTGACATGGCCCTGTGCTGAGTAGGCCCTGGGCCTGCTGCCTGTGTCTCTTCCCCACCCACCTGCGGTGCTTCCTTCCCACTTCCCTCCCTTGAAGCCCTGCCTCTCTGGGTGGGGTCAGGAGACACCTTGTGTCCTCAGTTGCCTAGAGAACTTTGCTTTCGGGTCCATGTTTTTTTCTGAAGTAAAGCAGATTGGCTGGGTCTGCCCTGTCTCATCACCCCTCGCTGATCTTCCTGCATCTGCCACATTCCCCCAGGCCATTGCTGGAAAAAGACTCATCCGTGGAGTCTCCCCAGTTCTTCTACCTTCGGGTGTTCATGGTTGAAGGTGAGCCCTCTGTGCTGCAGATGCTCCCCTCGTCTCTACCCTGCTTTTGTCATAGGCCACTGGCCTGGCCCCTGGCACCTCTGCAATTCTCTGGTAGCAATTATCAGTTCTGGAATCAGGACTTCCTCTCATGGGAATACCCACATGCCATCCTCAGTGCTCCCTGCCTCTCTGTGTGGGGTCAGGAGACACCCTGGATCCTCAGTTGCCTAGAGAACTTTGTTTTGGGGTCCATGTTTTTTTTTGAAGTGAAGCAGATTGGCTGGGTCTGCCCTGTCTCATCCCATCAGAGAAGACCAGGGACTTGGATTCTTGTTTCTGAGTGGGTGTGTGGTAAGGCAGTTTCCCTTTGTCTTGGTCCTCAGTGATTGTGGAGGCTAGGGATCCTGAATTTTTTTTTTTTTTTTTGAGTTGGAGTCTCACGCTCACAGCCACCCCAGCATCCACCTTCTAGGCTCCGGCGATCCTTCTGCCTCAGCCTTCAAGTAGCAGGAACCACAGGCGTGCACTACCATGCCTGGTTAATTTTTTATTTATTGTAGAGATGAGGTTTCACCAAGCTGCCCAGGCTGGTCTCGAACCCGTGGGCTCAGGCAGTCTACTCGCCTCGGCCTCCCAAAGTGCTGAGATTACAGGCTGAGCCACCGAGCCCGGCGTCTTGGAGTTTTTGGAAAAGGGAAGGTCATGGCTGCAGGGGCACATCTGCTTTGTGACCCACCTCAGAGTGTGGTTCATGCCTCTTCTCCTGAGCAGCCCTGGGACATGGACCCCAGGGATCCAGGCCCCGCCACAGCTTTCCACCTGGACCTCACCCTGCCCCTTTTCCTCCAGGCTCTTCTACCTGCCCTGTGTCCCTGTTGCTGACTTTGTCCACCCTGTTCCTGTTAGAGGAGGACCCTGTGGGGTCCCAGGCAGAGTCCTCTCTTCCAGCAGCATCTGGGGAAGCCTTTGAGAAGGCCCCGCCCTTGGGGCCAGACCCTTCCCTTCACATCAGGGAGCAGCAACCACTCAGCAGCCTGAGCTTGGTGCTGCTCTACCGCACAGCCCCGGAGCACTTGCGACTGGTCTTCTATGATGAGGTTCGTGTGTGCGCACTCAGGCAAGTGTGTGAGAGGGAGGGAGTTTGGGGGCAGTGTGGGAAAGGGGTCTGGGAAGGCTAGCGTTGGGGCAGAATGGAACTTAGGGATGGACAGTTGTGGTGGAGGGAGCACAGAGAATTCAGGTGTGAAGTGCCAGGGGACTCTGGGTTTGGATGAGCAGCAAGCAGGTGGCAGCTGTGGGTAGGCGAAGCACCCTGGATGTGGAGCCCAGCCATCTACTGGCTGGGAGGCCTTTAGTGAGGCACCCAGCTGCTTTGAGTCAGCGGATGGGGCTGCTGTGTGCCAGCCATTTGATCTTCACAACCACCCCCTGAGGGGGAAACTGAGCCCTGGGGACGTGAACCAACTTGCCCAGACCTCAAGTGGTAGAGCCAGAAGTGGAACCCACCCACACAATTCCTTGGATTTGACTCCAGAACTTCCATACAACAGGGAAGATTAAAGAGACAAGATAGTAAACGTGAAAGCTCCTGGAGACTTTCAGGAAATGCGGGATTGGGTTCTGTTTACAAAGCTCGGAGTCAGGATCTTCTGGGGGTGAAGGCAGGCTTGGGAGGGGAGAGGTGATGAGCCAAGAAGGGTAGTGAGTCCTCCCTGGAGGCCTCTTCTGTCCCCAGCCTGGCGTGGCCCCTGTGATCCTCACCTTGCGGACTGCTTGATCTGTCAGGTGTCTCGGCTGGAGAGTTTTTGGGCACTCCGTGTTGTGTGTCGGGAGCAACTGACAGCCCTGCTGGCCTGGATCCGGGACCCCTGGGAAGAGTTGTTTTCCATCGGACTTCGGACTGTGACCCAAGAGACTCTGGACCTTGACCGATGATACTTCCACACTGACCTTGGCCTTGACCTCAGGAGCCATGCTGCAGATGTTCCCTATCCCAGTCTCTGGGTCTGGCTTCCAGGTTGGCTGCAGACTTCTATAGCCTTGGGCTCTGGCCAGTGAGACCCTGAGTGACCCAAATGATGGCTTACGGGAGAGAGTCTGGTCTCTGGATGATCTGGCCTAAGGGGACAGGCTAAGTGGTCAGTAGGAATGTTTCTTTTGCACTTTTTCTCAGGTATCAATAAAGTTGTTTCCATTTCAGATGCCATGGGTGGTACTTGGATGTGTCACTCATGAGATCTACCTTTCCCTTAACCTCTTCTAACAGAAACTACCCCACCCATAGCTCTTCCCAAATGGACAGTCCCACACAGCCTTGGTTGTACTGTGAGACCCTGTCCCCAACCCTACTCTGGACCCAACTTGTGGGATCAAGTAGAAGTGATCCATGGATACCCAGTCCCAAGTAGCAGTGACTTGTCATGTGGCCTGGCATGTACTTAATGCCAAACAAATAGCTGGGCCAGTTATAATAGATTCTTACTCTCTCGAATTTCACTTGGGAAGTAGTGTGGGTCTCAGGCCCTTGCAGAGGGAGTCTGGGGAGAGGGTGTGTGGAATTGGGCCATGGAGGGGGCCTTGGCATCTGGTGCTTTCTGCCCTTCTCATAGCACTACCTCATGTAGCTCAGAGACTTGGATGGGTCGACCCTGTCTTCATGTCTGTGGCCATGGTGATTGGTTCAAGAATGCTCACAGGGTTTGGCCTACTAAGGCCCAGCACTAGCTTTTGGCTGGAACAACCAAGAAAGAGACCGATTTACTTCCTGAGTGTTGCTGAGAGGATAAGCCTGGAGCTGCTGACTATGAGGGGGAGCTCTCCTGAAAGTGGAACCATGAGAGAGACAGAACCGAGGTGGAGAGAGCAGGTCCAAATTCTGGGGATGTCTTTGGGGCCACTGGATCCACTTGTGCCTGAAGACCGATATGAGAGGGAACCCTTAAAAAAACCTGAAATTTATTTATAAAAATTGTGTATTTGTTCTTATATGTTTAAACTTCAGTCACCTTCAAAGTACTCTCCATTTGATGCAGTACATGTTTTGAAATGTATGATTTCCAAAAAACAAAAATCACTGAAGTCGAACGCAGTCTCTTAGAACAATGCTAGCGGGTACACTGATACCCATGGGTTCCTAGAACACTTACTTGCTGGGGAAGCCTGTACTACAAGGGGCCTGCCCTCCAAAGAATAATTCAGGTTTTTTTTTTTTTTTTTAAATCCCCCTTCATATACTTACAAATTTAGGTTATGTGAGCTAAAATAACTCCCTTTCTTCCTTTTTTTTCTTTTGATTTAAGCTAGTTTGAATTAAGCATGAGTCACTGAAAGGGTCCTAAGTAAACAAACCCCCACTTCAACTTGAGCCAGGCTGAGTGGGGATCTGTTTCTTACACAGCGGGAATAGTGACACCCACATATTGGTGTAGAGAGGCCCTGGTTCTTGGTTCCTATTCCTGAGTGAGGCAGAATGATTAATCCTACTTACTTTTTGTGTCGGGCCACCAGACCTAAGGCCTTGATCAATGAGTGACCTGACTGCTTGGTTGGACAGCAGAGCTGGGGCTGTGTCAGAGTGGGGCCTTTTCACCTGGAAAGAGTGGGTAAGGTTGCCCTGTCCTGACCAGCACACAACTTCAATAAACCTTAGGATGAAAGTATTTAAAAATTAAAAGGGTCATCTAAAAAGTTTTTATTTTAAAATTTGCTTGAAAAGTAGTGTGTACACATGAGAAAAATGTGCACTGTAATATATACAGTAAAAAGTGAGTTGCTCTCATATTCCTGAACCCTAAACTCCCCTCTCTAGATTCAGGCATTCTTACCCATTTTTAATCTTTTTTTTTTGACTTGGAGTCTCACTCTGTTGCCCAGACTGGAGTGCAGTGGCACGCTCCCGACCACCACAGCCTCGACCTGCTGGGCTCCAGTGATCCTTCTGCCTCAGCCTTCCAAGTAGCCAGAACTACAGGCGTGCGCAACCATGCCCAGCTAATTTTTGATTTATTGTAGAGTGGGTCTCAAACCTGCGGGCTCAGGCAATCCACTCACCTCAGCCTCTCAAAGTGCTGGGATTACAAGCTGAGCCACCGAACCCAGCCACCCAATTTTTATCTGTCCAGAAATGTCAATGCATGTACACTCGTGTACACATTTTCCCCAGAAAAGGGTAATTATTTAAGCCACTCAACTCTATAAAAAAAAGATTGAATTCTAAGAATAGTTCCTCCCCAGCAGGTCTCCAGTTTGGTCTGGTGGTAGAGTGGGGAGGAAATGGTATGAGTCTTGACTGGCCATTTGGGAGATGCTGACTGAAGTAGAGGTGCTTTGGAAACAGGCATGCAGGAGGTGGGGGCCCAGAGGCTCAGAAAGTAAATTCACCTACTTCTGTTTTGCTCAGAGCTGCCCTAAATTTTTAATTGAAGCAAATTAAAACTTCCCAAAAATATTAGTCCACTTTCTTGGCCATGTGCACACCCCCTTCCTGGTCAGTGAACTTACACCGCATCTGCGAACAGGCGCCAGTGCTGGTTCTGAGGAAGGCCTTGTCAGCCTCTGGCCAGAGCTACCCTTCACCACCAGGCCCACGTGCAAGCACTTCCCCAGAAGCCAGGTCAGATAGGGTCACGGTGCAGATGGGGCAGAATAATCTCCAGTCATTTCACATGATTTACAGAGACATATGACAAGGGAGTTGAAAGAGGAGCTTCTACATGCTTAACATCTCTGTGGACACCCTTGCTTTCTTTACTGCAGAGGAGCTTAATGCAAGGGAGTCTTCTGCAGCTTTTGTGCACAAGTGCTCTTTCTTTGGTGACCCAGCAGACACAGGTGCTGGTGAGTGAGTGGCCTGTAGACTGGTCAGGGTGAGGCCATCACCACTCCCAGAGGCCTCCCCTGCTTTAGCTTCGCACCTCCCAGGAGTAGGTGACAGGTTTGCCCCAACACAGGTGTCAATAGGTGGCACTCGCTTTACATACACCCTGGACTACCCTCACAATCGATCAGTCCATTCAGTCTGGCCTTTCCCCTCCGGCAAGTGCTTATTGATCGCCTGGCCTCTGGCCTTGGGCTTGTTGGCATGAAGGACACAGACCTCTGCGGCTCCTGGAAAGCAGTGGAGAGAAAGGCTTCGCTCACCTGAAACTGTACCTCACACACTGCTACACTTTCTGCAGAAAGAAGGTGGGAGAGGATAGAATATATATTCATGTTTGCTTGTATTTGTGTAAATAAATTCCAAGGGATAAAAAAAGAAATTGCTGGTGGGGGAAGATGATGATGATGATTCAGAATAAGATTAGGGGTGGTACTGAGGGTTTTAAAAAAACCTCTTTGTTAAAAAAATTTAAAACCATCTGTGGGTATTATAGATTCAAATATTACATTAATTTTTTTTGAGTCGGGGCGTCTCTGTCACTCCGGCTGGAGTGCAGTGGCACAATCACTGCTCACGTCAGCCTTGACCTCCTGGGCTCATGTAATCCTTCTGCCTCAGCCTCCCAAGTAGCTGGGACTACAGGCATGTGCCACCACACCCGGCTAATTTTTTTATTTTTTGTAGAGATGAGGTCTTGCTTTGTTGTCCAGGCTGGTCTGGAACTCCTGAGCTCAAGTGATCCTGCCACTTCAGCCTCCCAAAGTGCTGGGATTATAGGCGTGAGCCATCGTGCTGGGTTCAACTATTATATTTAAAATGTCTATGAGGTCCATAAGGGTCAGTGGTCAAACTGAGTGGGAGACTTCGACACCTAAGACTCCGGAAGGGAGGAACACCCATCTCTCTCATTATGAGCGGGTCTATCTTTGCTGCTGACTCATTTTACAGGGTGTGAGGGGTGACATCCTTCCACTCTTGTCAAGATACGGCGGTCACTTCTGAGAAGACCCTGCCTAGGTTGCTTAACTGAGGTTGGAAATTCAGCCACGGTTCTGTGTGTGAAGTTTAGCCCATCTCTGAGCACAGGCGATAGTTATTATCTATTCCCTCATCTACTAGAGGGATGGTGTGTGTGGTTATAGGAAAAGGCACAGTGGATGTTGATCAGAACCATCTAGGATTACGCCTTAGTTTTGTGGCTCCTTACTTAACCATGGGCGAATAGCTTACCTTTGTCCTCATCTACAGCCTGGGGGTGAGACTGATCAGTAATTTACCTAGTTCACAAAACTGTTGAGTGTAATAATGTAAATGGAAGTCCTATGTGAGCCATAAAACAGTAAATAAATGCTGTTTAAAAACCTGCCTGTTAGTTATTACAAGCTGCTTTGTTGCCCAGGGATGCTCTTTGAGAACAAAAAAGGGCAAGCCTGCCTGTGTGTTTATGAGTGGATGTTGCCCCAGAGTGCTTCGGAGGGAACCTCAGACGCTTCTGGGGATAGGAGGGAGCCATGGCATGTTTTTCCGGCCCATCTTTGTCATTTGATCGTTTTGGACTGACTTCACGGCCTCCACAAAAACATTCTTCAGTTTATTAGTTACTATAATTACTTGTGCACTCGCCTTCAATTCCACAGACATTGGTTGAGCTTTTAAAATGTGCCAGGCTCTATGTGAGAAGACGGGGGCTTTCTTCAGAAAGGTAAACCAGACATGCTCCTGCTTTCAAGCCTACAGTCCAGGGAGGGGGTGGGGAAGGGCACCTCGGACTGGTGAAGGCTACTGTAGGAGAAGATTGGAATCATCATGTCTCTGAGCATCCACTGTATACCGGTTCTTGCTCTAACCATTGACTTTACATTGTCTCACTCAGTAGGACCACTCTGAAGGACAAATGTGAGTTCCATTTCACAGGTGAGGAAGCTGAGGCTTGGGTTAAATACGGTATTCTCACCTAGGGGATGCTGGATCTCAAACTTGGGCCCTCCTCTCAGGCCTTCTAGAATGCCCACCCATGTTCACCCTCCTTTATATCTGTCCCCTTGTGGCACTAAACTTCCAGAGAAACCACATCTTTCCAGAAAAACGCCAACCATATCATCAAATATCTGAGCAGACTATTCTTACAGGACCTTCCCCAGGCTTTTCCTTCTGCCTGGAGTGTTCTCCCCTCCCCAGTTCCCCAACATCTTCTTCATTGCATGGCTGGTTATCTCCTATCCTTCAGGTCTTTGCTTAATTGTCACCTCCTTAGAGAGGATGTCCCTAGCCAGGTCTCCTGAATGTTCTTTGTAACTGGGCTTTCTCTTCATGGCTTTTGTC